GAGGGCGCCGCCAAATTTTGAGGACACTTTTTTAATTGGCTCAAAGAGAGAAGTGGCCCATCTTGTTATGTACTATCATTGGTAGAGTGTAGTCAGTACACAGATGCTTGTAAAATTGCACTCTCAGGTTGTAAAACACAAATATATTCTGTGGTTGCTTCAACTAGATATACACAGAAATGAATAGATTAAATCCAAAACTTAGAGCGTATCTACCGACATTATAAATTTCGATAGAAACTAGAGTGGCAAAAAAATGACGCTTTTTTCAGATTCTGAGAACCCAACAAGGCCTTGAAAGAGATTAGTCAGTAAAAGTTGCTTGTAAAATTGCACATCGAGGTTGAAAAACTCAATTATCTCTAGATTGTTACAAATAGGCATACACAAAAATGAATAGGTTTTATACAAAACTGAAAGTGTAGCGACCGAATTAACAATTTACTAAAGAAATTAGAATACCTAAGAAATAGGGCATTTTCTTGCTTCTCGAGATCATATCACAATTAGCTTTCAGAGTTAAGTCAGTACAAAGATGCTACAAAAATTATTGATTCAAGTTGTATAGCCTAATTATCTGTTGATTGTTTCAACTAGACATAAAAAACAAGTACAGACTAAAACCGAAACTGAGAGTGTAACGACCGACATAACACGCTACTATAAAAAACAAATGGAATGACAAAGAAATGAGGTTGTTTCCAGCTACTTAGAACACACCTAGAATTCGAAAAACTTTAGGGGGTACAGATGTGCTTGCAAAATGAAATGGCACAACCAGGTTGTAAACACTGTTGTCTGTTCGTGTTACAACTAGGCATGCACAAAATTGAATGGATTATAATAAAAACTGAGACTGTAACGACCGACATAACAAGTCACTAAAGAAATTAAGATGACATAGAAAAAATCAGTTTCTGGGTTTTCAGATCACACTTAGGATTCGAAAGAGTTTAGTGCGTATAGAAATTATATATATATATATATATATATATATATATATATATATATATATATATATATATATATATATATATATATATATATTGGCAGGGGCACTAAATCTCCTTTTTACCTGTTATCCAGTCCTTGAGCAGCTCCGAGTTATTGTAATTCACCAAAAATGTATTAAAGTCTCCCTGAGAAGAGAAAGGACGACGTGGACAAAGTATTACTCTATAAGTGCATCTATGATAGCTAGTAGACAACTTCAGCAAAAATGAACTGATTCCTCTGATCTTATCAGAAAAAAAACCCTCAAGTGACCAGGCTTTTAAAGAAAAATAAACAACTGGAAAGCAGAAATTTTGTAACATTCTTAAAGTTTTTAACTTGAAGTAAATTTTTAGTCTTGGTATGTTTAG